ATTGGAAGAATTTTGCCAAGGCACCCCTGAAACTTGAAGACACTCCAGGGTGCCTGGGAATCCTGGTTGGAAAAGGCTGGTCTAGAGGCTCCCCAACATTTGGGGATCAGGCTCTTATATACTGTACATGGGAGAAGGGGACAGGACCAGTTCACATTTCCAGCACATCGGAGAAGAGCAGGAATCCCATCTACTTTGTCTCACCAGGTCTCTGGAGCACTGAGCAAAAAGTTTAAAACCACTCTTATATACTGAAAGTATTAATAAAGGAAGTATGGATTAAGACAAGAATTTTGGATCCATGTTCTTCAATAAGGGTATGAGGTAGGTCCTTTGCCTGCTTTTAACCTGGTCCTTGTGGCACTATTTCATCCACTGATACCAACAATGGAACAAAATTCTTTCCCCTGACACCAATAAAGGGGTACATTTCCTCCCAATAACACCAAAGATGGGGCACAATTCCGTCCAGTTACACCAATAATAGGGCCCACTGACACCAATGATGGGTCACAATCAGAGGCGTCCCTAGGGTTGGTGTCACCCGGTGCGGAGTCCGATCCATTATGCTCCCCAATCCGCAGATCCGATCGTCGGCTTGCAACCTATACTGATCTCTCCACGAGCTCCACAAAAAGGTAAGTTTTAAAGTAAGCCGGTGATCCCCGCAAGATGGATCGGTTCTGTGGATTGGGGAGCATAATGGATCGGACTCTGATCCATTATGATCAATCCACAGATCCGATCCATCCTGCAGGGATCGTCAGCTTGCTTTAAACCTTACCTTTTTGTGGAGCAGGGCCGGTGTCACCATATGCGATAGGTGTCATCCAGTGCAGCGCTCACCCCCTCACCTGCCTAGGGATGCCACTGGGTAGGTCCTTCTCCCTGTTGACCAAGTAGACTGCGGAACTCACGTGTCACTGCAAGAATCGGTTTGTACAACAGTGAGGTACCATGAGACGGGCATAGTGTGTAATTAAAGGTGATCTTAGATAGTTATTCTGGGCTTCTCTCCATGGACAAAGCCTGCGGATCTAGTGGGGTAGAGGTAGTTGGAAGTGCAAAGTCGAAATGTTTGCATATATTTTTATGTGATCATGAAGAGTCCACGTTGTTGCAGTGTTCTGTGCACTTTGTCAAGTTACATAGTTAGTCTGGCAGAAAAAAGACAGAAGTCCATCCAAGTTGGAATTCAGATGTGGCTGGTCTTCCCAATACCGTGTTTGGGATCCTCCTGATGGTGTCAGCCAAGTCAGGGTCTCTGGTAACCCTGGGAAAACCTCTAATGTGTAAGTTGATGATACTGGTGTACGATGCGCACTGGCGCAAGTGCATGCGCTCCGGTCGCAATAGTTAATGGCACCTAAAGGCCTTTATATGGACAGTAGTCTTCCTCATTAGTTGCTGAATGATCGTCCACCTTCTGTATCTTGTGTTCGATCCTGGCTGTGGCTTCTGGAGCCCTGATGTCAAGATCCATTTGCTCATCCAGAGTGTCATCTGCCTTGTTAACATCCCTGATGGTCAGGTGTCTCTTCATCTGGAATGACCAGGAAACTACATCACTGGCAACTCGGGCTTCTTTGGGCCCAGCACTCCCTGTCACCACTTTCAGAGGTAATCTGCATTTAGCCCTCTCATCACTTCAGCCTCCAGTCAGGTGCATGAAAAATGGTATGTCCTCATATAGGTTCCAGAATTCGAAGGCTCAGGGAGACTTTGGGTGGGAAGGAGTCTCCAACCCTGATTACAGGGACTTTGGTCCTGAAGGGGTTAACCCATCTGCATGAGCTCCCTATTATATAATTAGACATGTGCAGTTCATAGTTACATAGCTAGTGGGGTTGAATAAATACACACGTGCATCCAGTTCAACCTGTGTGTGTGTGTACTTGTGCAGGTTTAGGTCAATATCATTTCTCGTATCCCTGTATGTTGCATTCACTAAGATGCCCATCTAAGAGTCTTTTGAAACTATTGACACTTCCTGCAGACACCACTGTTTGTGGTAGGGAGTTCCACATCTTTACCACTCTAACAGTAAAGAATCCCCTAGGCAGTTTAAGGTCCTCTAATTTCATGAAATGACCACATGTCTCCTTAAGCTCCCTGAAGCTGAATAGTTTTCTTCTTATGCTGGGATCACCATTGAGGTATATCGCTATCATATCTCCTCTCAAGTGTCTCTTCTCCAGGGAGAATACATTTAATGTTTGTAGTCGTTCCTCGTAACTGAGGTCCTTCAGTCAGAGGCGTCCCTAGGGTTGGTGTCACCCGGTGTGGTAACACTTGGTGACACCCCCTCCGACGATCCCCGCAGAATGGATCGGATCTGCGGATTGAGCATAATGGATCGGGCTCCGATCCATTATGCTCAATCCGCAGATCCGATCCATCCTGCGGGGATCGTCGGCTTTCTTTACAACTTACCTTTTCCTGGAGCGGGTCTGGTGTCACCCTGTATAGGTTGCATGCCGACGATCCCCGCAGGATGCGGGGATTGCCGGCATGCAACCTATACGGGGTGACACCAGACCCGCTCCAAGAAAAGGTAAGTTGTAAAGAAAGCCGACGATCCACCCAGGATGGATCTGATCCATCCTGCGGGGATCCTCGGCTTGCTTTACAAATTACCTTTTCGTGGAGCGGGTTCGGTGTCATCCCATGCGGTCTGTGTCACCCGTTGCGGGCCGCACTCCCCGCACCTGCCTCAGGACGCCACTGCCTTCAGTCCCCTTATTAGCTTTGTTGCCCTCTGGACTCTCTCCAGTTCCAGCACACCCTTCCTAAGGATTGGTGGCCACAACTGAGTGGCATACTCCAGATGTGGCCGGACCAGAGTCTTGTAAAGTGCCAGAACTACAGTTTTATCTGTGGAGTAAATCCCCTTTTTTATGGATACTAATGTTCTTCTGGCTTAGCTTGCTGCAGCTTGGCATTGCATGCCATTACTGAGCCTGTGATCCACTAGGGCTCCCATATCTTTTTCCATCCTTGAATCCCCCAATGGCTCTCCTCCTAGCGAGTAATTTGCATTCATATTTTTTGGCCCTCAAATGCATTGCTTTACATTTTTCAACATTAAACCTCATTTGCCATGTATTTGCCCACAGCATGATTTTATTGAGGTCGGCCTTTGAGGCTTCTACAATCAGCAAACACTGAGCTTCAGCTATTTATACTGACCTCTATATCACTATATATGAATATATATGAATAAATTAAACGGAAAAGGTCCCAGGACAGAGCCCAGGGGTACCCCACTTACCACTCCAGACCAGTACTCGCTATTTATAACTACCCTTTGTATGCGCCCTTGTGACCAATTTTCTCTCCAGGTGCGTATACTAGGATCTAAGCCAACAGACCTCAATTTGTAAATTTGAAGAACTGTATCAAATGCATCTGCAAAATCCAGATACTGTATTCCATGTCCACAGGCCTTCCTTTATGAAGATGACAGCTCACTTCCTCATAAAATGTTAGCAGATTGGTCTGGCAGGAACGGTCCTACTAATGCTACTATTATCATGTGCAAACTCTTGGATATAGTCCCTCATCATCTCCTCCAGTCCGTTACATTCCGAATCGAACTTCGGATGAAATTTTCATTATTCAGAGATTCGGATGTATCCAAATTTCCAAATTACAATAGTAATTAATTTAAATGAATCCGAAATCAGAAATCCAATTTGAAGACAAATTTGAAATATAAACATATTGCTGACTATTGCTGATTTCTGTCAAAGACTGTGGGTATTAGTGTTCGAATATAGCCATCTTTCAAAATTCTAATTTCGAAAATAAAAGAATAGAATTAAACAGAATAGGATGGAAAAGAATAAAGTAAAACAGAACAGAATAAAATAAAATAGAAAATAAAGGAATAGAATAGAAAAGAATAGAATAGAATAAAATAGAAAAGAATAGTAGAGAGAAGAAAAAAAATAGATTAGAATAGAATAAAATAGAAAGACTATAGCTGTCCTCCAAAATTCTAATTTCGACAAAAATAGAACAGAATTAAACAGAATTGGATGGAAAAGAATAAAGTAAAACAGAACAGAATAAAATAGAATAGAAAATAAAGGAATAGAATAGAAAAGAATACAATAAAAATAAAAGACTAAAATAGAAAAGAATAGTAGAGAGAGAAAAAAAAAAATAGATTAGAATAGAATAAAATAGAAAGACTATAACTCTCCTCCAAAATTAAAATTTCTAAAAGAATACAACAGAATTAAACAGAATATAATGGAAAAGAATAAAGTAAAACAGAACAGAAAATAAAAGAATAGAATAGAATAGAAAATAAAGGAATAGAATAGAAAAGAATAGAATAAAAAATAAAAGAATAAAATAGAAAAGAATAGTAGAGAGAAGAAAAAAATAGAATAGAATAAAATAGAAAGACTATAGCTGTCTTCCAAAATTAAAATTTCGAAAAGAATACAACAGAATTAAACAAATAAAAAGTGCAGCGCTAAAAAAATGTAAATTTCATGAATAAGTATCATAGATATAAAAATTTACAAAATGGTAATACCCAATAAATGATGATTAAGTTAAGAGTTCATAAAAACCTCTGGGCAAAATGCACCGTAATTATACCTGTGTTAATGTCATAAATTTTGCTAAACATATAAATAAACACAGTTCATCAAAAACAGGTCTCCTGATGACACTAATACTCCCAATGGACTTGATATTCTCAGGTGGTTCAGGAAATGAATAAAATGCGCACTCACCGGATGCGCTTAGAATAAGCACGTTGTATCATATACAGGTAGCTTTATCTGGTGTCCCTTCACTGGGCAGGTCTGGATACAGCCTGGCGGTAGTCAGTACTCCATTTAGTCACAGGCAAGGGCAGTCAGCCGGGTTTCTCTTTAACCACCTCCCGCCCGCCATATAGTACAATGACGGGCACAAGGCGGTTCTCTCGTTCTGGAAGGACGTCATATGATGCCTCCCATTCTAACCGCGCATGCATGGCTCCTGGAACGTGCAGCGTGACGATCGGCAGTGCTCTGTTTCCCTCGGACACAGCGGATCAACGATCCACGGAAAGAGCCGAAGATGTCGGCTCGGTCATGTGATCAGCTGTGTCCAATCACAGCTGATCACATGTAAATAGGGAAGTGCCGGTTATTGCCATTTCTCTCCCCACGAGCTGTCACGCTGATAGAGGAGAGGAGAGCTGGTAATCGGCATTCCTTAGTGGGGACATGTAAACAAATCATCAGAGCACTGATGGTCAGTGTGACCTGATGATCTGTGTAGCCCCAGCAGCGCCACCATCAGTGCCAGCTCTCAGTGCTCATCTATGCCACCTGCCAGTGCCCATCAGTGCCACATCAATGCCACATATCAGTGCCCATCTGAGCTGCCTTTCAGTGTCAGTGCCAGTCAGTGCCACCTAACAATGCCAGTCAGTGCCACCTATCAGTGCTGCCTATCAGTGTGCATCAGTGCCCGTCAGTGCTGCCTATCAGTGCCACCTAACAGTGCCAGTCAGCGCCACCTATCAGTGCCATATATGAGTGCTGCCTTTCAGTGCCCATCAGTGATGCCCCATGCCCTTCAGTGCCACATACAAGTGCCTCCTCATCAGTGCCCATCAGCGCCACCTATCAGTGCCCATCAGTGCAGCCTATCAATGCCCATCACTGCAGTCTCATTAGCGCACATCAGTGAGGGAGAAAAATCACTTATTTACAAAATTTTATAACACAAACTAAGAAAAAACTTTTTTTTTTCAGAATTTTCAGTGGTTTTTGGTTTGTTTAAGAAAAAAAAAAACCCAGAGGTGATTAAATGCCACCAAAAAATAAAGCTCTATCTGTCACAAAAAAATGATAAAATTTTCATACGGGTATAGTGTTGCATGACCGCGCGCAATTGTCATTCAAAGTGCGACAGCGCTGAAAGCTGGAAACTGGCCTGGGCAGGAAGGGGGTATAAGTGCCATGTAGGCTAGTGGGTCACCCTCCTACGGATATTGGGATATATATATATTTTTTTATATATATATATTTATTGAAACATATTAAATACGGAAATATGTCAATATATTTGGGAAGAATATTTTTAACATATTTTTCTTCCATGTGGGCAGGAGCTGTCAGGGGAGAGAACTGTATTGTTTACATACAGTTCTCTCCCCCCCCCCCCCCCCCCCGTCGGTATTACTCGATGATCAACGGGTGCCAGCAAGTAATCACCGGCCAGGACCCGATGATTGATAGCCAAGTCCGCGAACGGTGGCGCGGGTAGGGCTCGCGCGCGCCACCTACCTGAAACTGTAAAATCACGTATATATGCATGATTTTGCACACCTGTGCCGCCCTCTAACAGTATTTCTGCTATATGGTGGAGGGCAAGCGGATAATAATAATACAAATAGGACAGCACAGTGGCTAAATGGTTAGCACTTCCACCTGGCAGTACTAGGGTCATTGGTTTGAATCCCAGCCACAGCACCACCTGCCTGGAGTTTGCATGTTCTCCCTGTGCCTGCATGAGTTTCCTCTGGGTACTCTGGTTTCCTCCTACACTCCAAAGACATGCTGGTAGGTGAATTGAATCCTGTCTAAATTGTCCCTAGTATGTGTATGTATGAATGTGAGTTAGGGACCTTAGATTGTACACCCCTTGAGGGTTAGGGACTGATGTGAATGTACAATATATATGTAAAGTGCTGTGTAAATTGACGGCGCTATATAAGTACCTGAAATAAATAAAAATAAATAAAATATATGGTGTATGATGAAATGCATTTTTATTACAAAATATATGAAAAATATTTTTAAAAATACATTTTCAAATTTACCATATGTCTTTAAAAATACATTTAATCTACATTGTTGGAATGCATTTACATTTATATGTAAAAATATATGTTACAATTACAATTTTATGTTAAAAAAAATCTGAAGAATATATTTTTAAAAATATTTTTCATATATTTTGTAATATATAAAAAAAAACACATTGCAACATGTTTGTGTGTGTATATATATATATATATATATATACATACATATATCAAGATATATTTCTTGATATATATATATATATATATATATATATATATATATATATATATATATATATATAAAAGCTGGGGCTTTCTGGTTTCTGGACTGGAAATCCCTTTTAACTTTCAATCCTAAAACCAATAAAAAGGTGATTTGTTGTTTTCCAAGACTGGATGTAACATGACACTTAGTTGAAACAGAAAGTGTAAGTACAAATACACAGGTAAGGAGAGGCTGGATTATTGTGCATTGCCCTTGTGCCTCCCTAGTGAGAAGTTGAAAGATTCTGTACCTGCCAGGTGAAAACCTCTGAGATCTGAAACAAAACGTCTTCCTTCTGCCGAAATCCAACAACTTCTGGATCAACGGTAAGCAGAGCTGGGCTAAAATTGTGGGGGGGGGGTTGCCTTTTCTGTTACTTATATGTGTATTTGCATCAGGACTTGACCCTCAAATTGTACACCGCCACCACACATGTTTCTGTTGAGCTGTTGGCTATGTTGCATCATATTACATGGCTATTATATTGTTTGTTCACTCTTTAGAAATCCCCCTATTATTCAGTATAGTTTCAGGGTTGGTGTAACACTCAGCTGCCAAATAAAAGCCCCAGTAGGTGTTTAGTGGAAAGCAAAAATAAAAGTGAAACTACGTTATGGTAAAAATTGTGAGATTTTGGAGAAATTAATTTTTTTAATTTAATAATATTTCCCTATTTTATATATATATATATATATATATATATATATATATATATATTTTTTTTTTTTTTTTTTATTTATATACAACATAGTTCCATCAGTTTACGCAGCACTTGACATATTGTACATTCACATCAGTTCCTGCCTCGCAATCTGAAGTCGCCAATTTAAAGTTCCTATCTAAAGCTGCCCATAGATGGATCGAAATTTGGGTGGTTCAGCAGGGACCGGATGATTTCTCTGTCCAGCTATGGCTGTTCCAACTGGACAGAAGTTATTATTATTATTATTTTTATACAGGATTTATATAGCACCAACAGTTTGCTCAGCGCTTTACAGTATAACGGGAGACAATACAGCAACAATACAGTTCAATACAAGAGGGATTTGAGGGCCCTGATCCTTGGAGCTTACAATCTAGTTAAGTTGATCTAATGACTGACTTACGTAGAATGAAACAGTTGGAAAACTTTGGTCAGCCCGCGCCTTGCAACCAGTCAGCTGAAGTCGCTGATCGTTGTATTGTGATCTGCCTTGTTGGCTATTTAAAAAAAAAAAAAAAAGAGAACAGTCTATGACCAGCCTTACAGGGCCGTCTTAATAGCATCATAGGCCCCTGGGCAAAGTTTTGCGCTGGGGCCCCCCACCAGTCTGCCCAAATTTACGTGCTTACCCTCAAGAATTAAAGTATAAATAGTTGATAGAATTTAACATATATTTATTAGTACTTTCAATCAAATTGATAATAAACAATAAGAATGCCATAAGAATGTTATAATTTTGTAATGTACAGCGCTGAGTGAACTATTGGCGCTTTATAAATACTGTATAATAATAATAATAATAATAATAATAATAATAAATCAATAAGGATAATAAATCAAAGATTAATCAACACCAAGGGCAAAGTACGGTGGGAAGGGGTTGTAGGCAGAAGGGCATAGTACAGGGGAGAGTCAGGGGGCACAATACGGGGATCAGGAGGGCACAGCACAGGGGTATTCAGGGGGGCACAATACTGGGATCAGGAGGGCACAATACTGGGATCAGGAGGGCACAGTACAGGAGGAGTCAGGGGGGCACAATACTGGGATCAGGAGGGCACAGTACAGGAGGAGTCAGGGGGGCACAATATTGGGATCAGGAGGGCACAGCACAGGGGTAGTCAGGGGGGCACAATACTGGGATCAAGAGGGCACAGTACACTGGGAGTCAGGGGGGCACAATACTGGGATCAAGAGGGCACAGTACAGGGGGAGTCAGGGGGCACAATACTGGGATCAGGAGGGCACAGCACAGGGAGAGTCAGGGGGGCACAATACGGGGATCAGGAGGGCACAGCACAGGGGTAGTCAGGGGGGCACAATACTGGAATCAAGAGGGCACAGTACAGGAGGAGTCAGGGGGCACAATACTGGGATCAGGAGGGCACAGCATAGGGGTAGTCAGGGGGGCACAATACTGGGACCAGGAGGGCACAGCACAGGGAGAGTCAGGGGGGCACAACACGGGGATCAGGAGGGCACAGCACAGGGGTAGTCAGGGGGGCACAATACTGGGATCAAGAGGGCACAGTACAGGGGGAGTCAGGGGGGTACAATACTGGGATCAGGAGGGCACAGTACAGGGGGAGTCAGGGGGGCACAATACTAGGATCAGGAGGGCACAGCACAGGTTCTGAGATGCTGCCAGACACCACTACTCCACTCGACTGTCACGGCTCCCCGGGGCTTCCATCTTCACCCGGTCTTCCTTCTGGGTTTCCGGGGCTGCAGCCATTTGACTGGCCGAGCTGCAGTGACGCCACTCATACACATGGGAGTCCCGGCCATGGCAGGGCTCTCTCAATGGACAGCACGTTGTATATTGAGAGTGCAGTGCGCATGAGCTGGTGACAACACTAAAATCACTGCTAAAGTAACTATCCCCTAAATGGGGCATGTTTAGGAGATACAGTATCTATAGTACCTACAGGTAAGTCTTATCAAAGGCTTACCTGTAAATAAAACATAAAAAAAGACTTTACTTCCACTTTAAAAGTCTTATCTTGAACACTCCTTGTATATGGGCTCACTTAATCAAGAGGGCAACGAACAAAACTGTGAATCTATAGACAAACAGATTCTATTTGGCTGTCATGGTGTTGCACTTTGTTCCATCTCAGAAAAATACTCAGTTTTCTTTCACACGTAAAATGCATATATATATATATACACACACTGTGTACATATACACTGTATATACCTATGTACACACACACACACACGTTTATTTATTTATTAAAAAACAATGTGATGCAAAAAAGAAAGAGATATTTAAAAAGGTAAAAGAAAAGAAAAATATATTTTATATATATATAAATATATATATATATTTTACTTATTTTTAACTTTTTTTTTACTTTTTTTAAATATTTATTTCTTTTTTGTATCACATAGTTTTAATGGGTTTTTTTTTTTCCAGAAACACACACAAAAGAAGGAAATCTAAGTATAACAGATGAATGAACTATGTATTTTTTGCTTTGTAAGTTAATATTTGCACTATGGCAGCTGAGAAGAAAAACGTCTCGTAAATTTAATTCAAAATATTAACAATCATGTGATTCATTTCTAACCACACGTAGTATTGGAAGATCATGTATGTACATACCTTTTGGGTAAATGCTAACATTTCTCTCTCCCCCATCAAGATCCCATGGTTCTTCCTCTGACATATACATA